AATCTCTCCTGCTCTGAAGGGGGAAGTGAGTACTGAGCAGTACTCAAGACGGGACAACACAAGTGATTTGATGAGTACAACCATTGTGATGGGATCTCTGGACTTGAAGGTTCTCGTAATCCATCCTATCATTTTTCTGGCTGACGCAATACTTGCTTGGTTATGCTCCCTAAACGTTAGGTCGTCGGACATCATTATTCCCAAATCCTTGACATGCTGCTTTCCTACTATGGACAGATTTGATTGTGTTTTGTACCCTGTATTATGTTTCAGATCCTCATTTTTGCCGTACCTGAGTACCTGGAATTTATCACCGTTAAACATCATGTTATTTTCTGCTGCCCAATCGAAAATTTGTTAATGTCTGTTTGTAGTTTTTCAATGTCTTCAGCAGAGGTAATTTTCATGCTGATTTTTGTATCATCTGCGAAGGATAACACGAAGCTGTGACTTGTTTTTTTGTCTATATCTGATATGTTACTCTCTGTGTTCTGTTCGACCGGAAATTGAGTATCCAGCGTCCTACTTTACCAGTTATTCCCATTGACCTCATTTTGTGTACTATCACTCCATGGTCACATTTGTCGAATGCCTTTGCAACGTCTGTGTATACAACATCTGCATTATGTTTTTCTTCTAATGCCTCAGTGATTTTGTCATAATGGTCAAGTAGCTGTGAGAGGCATGATCTTCCTGCTCTAAATCCATGTTGGCCTGGATTGTGGAGGTCATTGGTTTCCATGAATCTAGTGACCTGACTCCTGATCACTCTCTCAAATACTTTTATGATGTGCGATGTTAGTGCAACTGGTCTATAATTCTTTGCCAATGCTTTGCTCCCTCCCTTGTGTAGAGGGGCTATGTCTGCTGCTTTAAGTGCATCTGGTATCTCCCCCGTGTCCAAGCTCTCCCTCCACACTATACTGAGTGCCTGTGCTACCGCCACTTTGCATTTCTTTATAAATATTGAATTCCATGAGTCTGGACCCGGGGCTGAGTGCATCTTCTTGAGGTTATCTTGAGATGATTTCGGTGCTTTAGTGTCCTCGCGGCCCGGTCCTCGACCAGGCCTCCACCCCCAGGAAGCAGCCCGTGACAGCTAACTAACACCCAGGTACCTATTTTACTGCTAGGTAACAGGAGCATAGGGTGAAAGAAACTCTGCCCATTGTTTCTCGCTGGCGCCCGTGATCGAACCCGGGACCACAGGATCACAAGTCCAGTGTGCTGTCCGCTCGGCCGACCGGCTCCCTGGCATGGGCATATTGTCATTTTTTCTTTCAAAATTTGCTACGCTCATGTTGATATCAGTTATATTTACAGGTGTTTGGATGTCACTCATAAATAAATTGTCCGAATCTTGCATTTTCATGCTGTGTATCGGAGTGCTAAACATGTCCTCATACTGCTTTTTTAGGATTTCACTCATTTCTTTGTCATCCTCAGTGCATGAACCTTCACTAATACGAATAGGTCCAATACTGGCAGTGGTTTTTGCTTTTCATTTAACATATGTGAAGAAATATTTTGGGTTTTTCTTTATTTCTTGAATTGCTTTCTGTTCTAGTTGCCATTCTTCAGTTTGATAGGAATGCTTCAGTCTCTGTTCGATTTCTTCAATCTCTCTGTCTAAATTATTTCTTCTCTGTATGGAGAGTCGTGTCTGCTTAAGCATTTCCATTAATTTCTTCCTTCTTTTGTAATGTCGTCTGCGTTCTCTTTCTACATTTGACGTCTTTCTGGTTTTCCTCAAAGGAACATGTTTCAGACAGACTTCATAGGCTTTAGAAGTCAGTTTTTCTATTCCTTGTGTAGGATTTTTATTTCTTAGAACATTTTCCAATTGAATGTTTGTAAGTTCCCTGTTTATTTTCTCCCAGTCTATCCTCTTATTATTAAAATTGAATTTATTGAATAACCCTTCTCGCTTGTTTCTCTTGGGCCTACTACCGTTATTAATGTTAGTTTGCAATTCAGTGAGCTTGTGGTCCGAGTACATAGTGTCTGAGACAGTAATGTCTCTGATTAGCTGCTCATTGTTCGTGAATATCAGATCCAGCGTGTTCTCGTTCCTAGTTGGTTCTGCAATCTGCTGACTGAGCGAGAATTTGTCACAGAATCTCAGTAGTTCTCTGACCTGTGGTTGGTTATTTCCAGGTTGATTTCCTGCTATAATGTTATTGTTTACTATTCTCCATTTTAAACTGGGTATATTGAAGTCTCCAAGGAAGATAATATCTGTTACTGGGTTTGCGGTAAATTTGGCCCTAAGGTCGAGTTAATAGGGAAGCGTCACTCTTCCTGTGAGTGAATATACCGTGGTGGTATATAACCCTTAATAGGAAGAAACCCTTCAGAGTTGTTCATCCTGTCACTTGTAGCCAGGCGCAGCTGGTACATACTTAACTGCCTCAAGTGAACAGATAGTCAAACAAGGAGATTAACATTTACAAACACTTGAACTTACGTTGTCTTGCAGGAGTAAAAGTGAGAGAATCTTTAAGAACTGTGTATATATTGGACAAATAGTAGTTTCCTAACTCAAACATTATGGAACTTATTTTAACACTCATATTTCTAATGTGTATTTCCAATGTTAGGGAGCTGAGTGCCTCAGCTAGTGTTGCAGGCGGGCGTGTGTGTGTTGGAGGTGGGGCGTGTGTGTGTGTTGGAGGTGGGGCGTGTGTGTGTTGGAGGTGGGGCGTGTGTGTGTGTTGCAGGTGGGGCGTGTGTGTGTTGCAGGCTGGGCGTGTGTGTGTTGCAGGTGGGGCGTGTGTGTGTGTTGCAGGCGGGCATGTGTTGTGTGCCACCACTGCACACCTTACACTGCTTCACCTCTCCTTCAGTAATTGTATCCAACACGAATTCATTCTTTCTCTTCCTCGAGCAAGTCCATTTCGCCCACAATGCCAACAGCTTCACAGACTTGTCCTTCTGTCCTCAGCAACCTTGTGACGGTGATGTTGACGGATCTTGTACAAGATCCTCTAACTTGTACAAGAGTCTGGGGTGTGAAGTATTCAATATTACCCTTCAGCGCCCTCAGCAGCCAGCACATCTGCTCCTTCATTTGCATGTGCTTCATAGGGCTTAAGGCACTTGGGAAGACCAGTTACTCACACTCCAGCTTCCTTCTGTATATGTGGGTGTTTACTGTTTGGTGGGAGCTCATTGTGAAATGAGCTTCCTGGAGTCTTTCTCGGCACCTTAACTGCCAGGAAGGCTGATGGGAAGAGTGACGTTGGAAGTGGTGTGGGAATAGTTTCCAGCCATAGTTATGGGGTTCGCCCATAGTTCGGCCAGTTATGAATCTCGTTAATGCTCTTGATATGAGTTGTTGAGTGTTAAGGGTTTTGAAAAGTTTCTGAGAGGACGTGAGTGGCTCCTTTGTCTATACTAACTGAAGGTGGTTAGAGGGACAGGAGTGGGGGAGATGAGGGAGAGGTGAGAAGCAGGTGAGGGGTAAGTGAGAGGTGAGGAGCAAGTGAGGGGTAGGTGAGACTGACAGTAACGATGAGGACTATCATTTAACGGGCTCGCCATAGCCCGTGCTACATGGACACATCGTTCTGAGTAGCTAAACCTGAAACAACAACAACGACCATCGTACCTACAATGACATAAAAGACATTTACAAAGTAGAAATCGGTACTATTGAATTTGGACAAACTGGAAAAGTTTTTGTACTGATGTTGCAAAGAAAACATAATCTGACCTAACCTTCCTAGGCCTAATGTATGTTACCTGAGGCCTAATATAGTCCATATGGGAGCTATACTAGGCCTAGGAATATTTGAGATTGGTTTTTAGCGCAATTTTTTCAGACTTTATCAAGTGAATATAGTACCAAATTCAACAATCTAATTTAATGGACAATCTAATTGTCCATTACGTCTCTGTACGTACGATTGTCACAAAGTGCTGTCTTCACGGGAGACTGGGAAATACTGTCTTCACGGGAGACTGGGAAGTACTGTCTTCACGGGAGACTGGGAAGTACTGTCTTCACGGGAGGCTGGGAAGTACTGTCTTCACAGGAGGCTGGGAAGTACTGTCTTCACGGGAGACTGGGTTGGGTAGTCACTGCAAGAAACACCGGCGGTCACAGGTTGACAGTGATCAATACTCGTGTCACAGCTCCTAGTGTTCCGTTGTGTGTCTCGTCCAGTGACACGGACGTCTTGTGACACGGCGTGTGGGGGGGGGGGGGGCGTGTGGACCGGGGACAGAGGAGGTTACCTTGAGGTGCTTCCGGGGCTTAGTGTCCCCGCGGCCCGGTCGTCGACCAGGCCTCCTGGTTGCTGGACTGATCAACCAGGCTGTTGGACGCAGCTGCTCGCAGCCTGACGTATGAGTCACAGCCTGGTTGATCAGGTATCCTTTGGAGGTGTTTATCCAGTTCTCTCTTGAACACTGTGAGGGGTTTGCCAGTTATGTCTCTTATGTGTAGTGGAAGCGTGTTGAACAGTCTCGGGCCTCTGATGTTGATAGTTCTCTCTCAGAGTACCTGTTGCACCTCTGCTCTTCAACGGGGGTATTCTGCACATCCTGCCATGTCTTCTGGTCTCATGTGGTGTTATTTCTGTGTGCAGGTTTGGGACCAGCCCATCTAATATTTTCCACGTGTAAATTATTATGTATCTCTCCCGCCTGCGCTCAAGAGAATACAGATTTAGGCTCTTTAGTCGGTCCCAATAGTTTAGATGTTTTACTGAGTGGATTCTATCAGTAAAGGATCTCTGCACGCTCTCCAGGTCAGCAATTTCCCCAGCTTTGAAAGGAGCTGTCATTGTGCAGCAGTACTCCACTCTAGAGAGGCTGGGGAGGGGACGATGCGGACGCGCGGATCCCAATAATTGAGCTCCTTCTCAAGGATCTCTATTTACCTATCTATACCTATCTATATAATCTGTATAGATTATATCCTGGTGTCCAGATCTCACTGTGCAAGAGTTCTCCTGCCTGGGGCGTCTCTCGCAGCTCCAAGTACTGCATTGGTCTCAGTGAGGAGAACACTTAGGAACGATACTTTGTTTTCTTCCCTTGTTTTTAGTCCTTGTGTGCTGGCCAAGACCAATGTGGTTCAGTTTGGTAAAGTTTAACTGGGAGATTTTTCTGACAAGTCTGTTATGCATGGGCATACTGGATTTATTATGACCAGTACTGGTTGTAGCAGGGTTGTTGCCTGTCATAGTTGTAGCAGGGTTGTTGCCTGTCGTAGTTGTAGCAGGGTTGTTGCCTGTCATAGTTGTAGCAGGGTTGTTGCCTGTCGTAGTTGTAGCAGGGTTGTTCCCTGTCGTAGTTGTAGCAGGGTTCTTGCCTGTCGTTGTTGTAGCAGGGTTGTTGCCTGTCGTAGTTGTAGCAGGGTTGTTGCCTGTCATAGTTGTAGCAGGGTTGTTGCCTGTCGTTGTTGTAGCAGGGTTGTTGCCTGTCATAGTTGTAGCAGGGTTGTTGCCTGTCGTAGTTGTAGCAGGGTTGTTGCCTGTCGTAGTTGTAGCAGGGTTGTTGCCTGTCATAGTTGTAGCAGGGTTGTTGCCTGTCGTAGTTGTAGCAGGGTTGTTGCCTGTCGTAGTTGTAGCAGGGTTGTTGCCTGTCATAGTTGTAGCAGGGTTGTTGCCTGTCGCAGTTGTAGCAGGGTTGTTGCCTGTCGCAGTTGTAGCAGGGTTGTTGCCTGTCATAGTTGTAGCAGGGTTGTTGCCTGTCGTTGTTGTAGCAGGGTTGTTGCCTGTCGTAGTTGTAGCAGGGTTGTTGCCTGTCATAGTTGTAGCAGGGTTGTTGCCTGTCGTTGTTGTAGCAGGGTTGTTGCCTGTCGTAGTTGTAGCAGGGTTGTTGTCTGTCATAGTTGTAGCAGGGTTGTTGTGGGGCGTGACTGTATTCTGTGATTCTGGTGTGGAAATGGCTCTTTCAGCCAGTACCATACAGTCCTTCTGTTAAATCTTTTGAAACCTTTATTTTCTTGGTCTACAAAAATATTTGACTTTCCTGCAAAGCTCTGTGTCGTGCGTGAGTCTGGGCAGGTCGCGCCTCCTGCTGCATCACTATATTTCTTGCACTCGTTTTGTAGTGTTAATTCCTGTGTGTTTTTGTGTAAGGAGATGCGAGAATAAAGTGACTGTGGTTAGGTCTGTGACTGTGGTTAGGTCTGTGACTGTGGGTAGGTCTGTAACTGGGGTTAGGTCTGTGACTGTGGTTAGGTCTGTGACTGGGGTTAGGTCTGTGACTGGGGTTAGGTCTGTGACTGGGGTTAGGTCTGTGACTGTGGTTAGGTCTGTGACTGGGGTTAGGTCTGTGACTGTGGTTAGGTCTGTGACTGGGGTTAGGTCTGTGACTGTGGTTAGGTCTGTGACTGTGGTTAGGTCTGTGACTGTGGTTAGGTCTGTGACTGTGGTTAGGTCTGTGACTGGGGTTAGGTCTATGACTGTGGTTAGGTCTGTGACTGTGGTTAGGTCTGTGACTGTGGTTAGGTCTGTGACTGGGGTTAGATCTGTGACTGGTTAGGTCTGTGACTGGTTAGGTCTGTGACTGTGGTTAGGTCTGTGACTGTGGGTAGGTCTGTGACTGGGGTTAGGTCTGTGACTGGGGTTAAGTCTGTGACTGTGGTTAGGTCTGTGACTGGTTAGGTCTGTGACTGTGGTTAGGTCTGTGACTGTGGTTAGGTCTGTGACTGAGGGTAGGTCTGTGACTGTGGTTAGGTCTATGACTGGTTAGGTCTGTGACTGTGGTTAGGTCTGTGACTGTGGTTAGGTCTGTGACTGTGGTTAGGTCTGTGACTGTGGTTAGGTCTGTGACTGTGGTTAGGTCTGTGACTGGTTAGGTCTGTGACTCTGGTTAGGTCTGTGACTGGTTAGGTCTGTGACTGTGGTTAGGTCTGTGACTGTGGTTAGGTCTGTGACTGTGGTTAGGTCTGTGACTGTGGTAAGGTCTGTGGCTGTGGTTAGGTCTGTGACTGTGGTAAGGTATGTGACTGTGGTTAGGTCAGTGACTGTGGTTAGGTCTGTGACTGTGGTTAGGTCTGTGACTGTGGTTAGGTCTGAGACTGTGGTTAGGTCTGAGACTGTGGTTAGGTCTGTGACCGTGTTAGGTCTGTGACCGTGGTTAGGTCTGTGACAGTGGTTAGGTCTGAGACTGGTGTGGCCTGTGACTGTGGTTAGGTCTGGGACTGGGGTTAGGTCTGTGACTGGGGTTAGGTCTGTGACTGTGGTTAGGTCTGGGACTGGTGTGGCCTGTGACTGGGCTTAGGTCTGTGACTGTGGTTAGGTCTGTGACTGTGGTTTGGTCTGTGACTGTGGTTAGGTCTGAGACTGTGGTTAGGTCTGAGACTGTGGTTAGGTCTGTGACCGTGGTTAGGTCTGTGACCGTGGTTAGGTCTGTGACTGTAGTTAGGTCTGAGACTGGTGTGGCCTGTGACTGTGGTTAGGTCAGTGACTGGGGTTAGGTCTGTGACTGTGGTTAGGTCTGTGACTGGGGTTAGGTCTGTGACTGTGGTACTGTGACTGTGGTTAGGTCTGAGACTGGGGTTAGATGTGTGACTGTGGTTAGGTCTGAGACTGGTGTGGCCTGTGACTGTGGTTAGGTCTGTGACTGTGGTTAGGTCTGTGAATGTGGGTAGGTCTGTGACTGTGGGTAGGTCTGTGACTGTGGTTAGGTCTGTGACTGGTGTGGCCTGTGACTGTGGTTAGGTGTGTGACTGGGGTTAGGTCTGTGACTGGGGTTAGGTCTGTGACTAGGGTTAGGTCTGTGACTGGGGTTAGGTCTGTGACTGTGGGTAGGTCTGTGACTGTAGTTAGGTCTGTGACTGTGGGTAGGTCTGTGACTGTGGTTAGGTCTGAGACTGGTGTGGCCTGTGACTGTGGTTAGGTCTGTGACTGTGGTTAGGTCTGTGACTGTGGGTAGGTCTGTGACTGGGGTTAGGTCTGTGACTGGGGTTAGGTCTGTGACTGGGGTTAGGTCTGTGACTGTGGGTAGGTCTGTGACTGGGGTTAGGTCTGTGACTGGGGTTAGGTCTGTGACTGGGGTTAGGTCTGTGACTGTGGTTAGGTCTGTGACTGTGGTTAGGTCTGTGACTGTGGGTAGGTCTGTGACTGGGGTTAGGTCTGTGACTAGGGTTAGGTCTGTGACTGGGGTTAGGTCTGTGACTGTGGGTAGGTCTGTGACTGGGGTTAGGTCTGTGACTGGGGTTAGGTCTGTGACTGGGGTTAGGTCTGTGACTGTGGTTAGGTCTGTGACTGGGGTTAGGTCTGTGACTGTGGGTAGGTCTGTGACTGGGGTTATGTCTGTGACTGGGGTTAGGTCTGTGACTGGGGTTAGGTCTGTGACTGTGGTTAGGTCTGTGACTGTGGGTAGGTCTGTGACTGTGGTTAGGTCTGTGACTGGTGTGGCCTGTGACTGTGGTTAGGTGTGTGACTGGGGTTAGGTCTGTGACTGGGGTTAGGTCTGTGACTAGGGTTAGGTCTGTGACTGGGGTTAGGTCTGTGACTGTGGGTAGGTCTGTGACTGGGGTTATGTCTGTGACTGGGGTTAGGTCTGTGACTGGGGTTAGGTCTGTGACTGTGGTTAGGTCTGTGACTGTGGGTAGGTCTGTGACTGTGGTTAGGTCTGTGACTGGTGTGGCCTGTGACTGTGGTTAGGTGTGTGACTGGGGTTAGGTCTGTGACTGGGGTTAGGTCTGAGACTGTGGGTAGGTCTGTGACTGGGGTTAGGTCTGTGACTGGGGGTTAGGTCTGTGACTGTGGTTAGGTCTGTGACTAGGGTTAGGTCTGAGACTGTGGTTAGGTCTGAGACTGTGGTTAGGTCTGTGACTGGTGTGGCGTGTGACTGGTGGAGCGCCCCCCCCCCCACACTCACACATAACTAGCTGTATATAATTCCACTTCGTAGTTTTCTTTGATGCAAAATCCGGCCGCCAATTTGCAGGGGTGATTTATACTGGCCATAACTGGAGCTCTTTTAGCTGAGGGCTTAGCGAGCCGCCTGGTGAATCCACAAGTGGATATTTGAACCTAGTTTATGCATCTCTGTATGTATAATGCATTCTGGTGGTGGCTGGTGGGCGGGTGTAGGCAGTGTGGTCGTGGGTGGCGCGCTGCTGGCCACTGTAGGGGCGGCTGCTCTCTTGATCTCACTCTTTATTTATATACATGAAGGTACTGGAATGGACGCCTTCTGACTCCTGGTAGCAGGCGCCTCTCCTTCCGCCTGAGAGGCAAACGCTTTTCCTTTCAATGCATGAAAGTGCATTTTGTGCCATTGGGTTCATATTTGCATATTCCCTTTGCGTAGTAATTTGTATATATTATCATTTTAGTATTTTTTCCAGCTGTTTATAACTGTTCTTGTCTTGCCCCTCCCTCCCTCCCCCTCCTTATTTGAGCCACCTGTGTTTTGTCCTAATATTATTTGTTTACGCATGTTATCATATCTATTACATTTATCTCACAGACACACACACACACACACACACACACACACACACACACACACACACACACATTCAGGAATCTGTACATCAGTTGATTGTTGACAGGCGGGACCAAAGAGACAAAGCTCAACCCCCGCAAGCACAACTAGGTGAGTACACACACACACACACACACACACACACACACACACACACACACACACACACACACATACTCACACACAAGGGGCCTCGTAGCCTGGTGGATAGCGCGCAGGACTCGTAATTCTGTGGCGCGGGTTCGATTCCCGCACGAGGCAGAAACAAATGGGCAAAGATTCTTTCACCCTAAGTGCCCCTGTTACCTAGCAGTAAATAGGTACCTGGGAGTTAGTCAGCTGTCACGGGCTGCTTCCAGGGGTGTGTGGGTGTGTGTGGTGTGGAAAAAAAAAAGCAGTTAGTAAACAGTTGATTGACAGTTGAGAGGCGGGCCGAAAGAGCAAAGCTCAACCCCCGCAAAAAAAAACACGACTAGTAAACACAACTAGTAAACACAACTAGTAAACACACACACACACACACACACACACACACTCAAGACCAATCCTGGAGTATGCAGCCCCAGCATGGAGACCGTACCTTGTCAAGCATAAGAAGAAGCTGGAAGAAGTTCAGAGGTATGCCACTAGACTAGTCCCAGAACTAAGAGGCATGAGTTACGAGGAAAGGCTGTGGGAGATGCATCTTACGACACTGGAAGACAGAAGAGTAAGGGGAGACATGATCACAACCTACAAAATTGTCAGAGGTATTGATAAGGTAGATAAAGATAAACTGTTTAACTCGAGGGGAATGCGAACAAGGGGACACAGGTGGAAACTGAGTACCCACATGAGCCACAGGAACGTTAGAAAGAACTTTTTCAGTATCAGAGTAGTTAACGGATGGAATGCACTAGGCAGTGATGTGGTGGAGGCTGACTCCATACACAGTTTCAAATGTAGATATGATAGAGCCCAGTAGGCTCAGGAACCTGTACATCGGTTGATTGACAGTTGAGAGGCGGGACCAATGAGCCAGAGCTCAACCCCCGGAAGCACAACTAGATGAGTACAACTAGGTGAGTACACACACAAATACCATGGATGCAGTCAGTAGCAGCTGTCTAACTCCCATATACCTGTTGACTACTTGGTGAACAGAGGCATAAGGTGAAGGGGAAACGCTGCCAGCTTTTTTCTGCTCAGGCTGTGACTCGAACCCGGGATTTACAGGTGAGAATCGAAGTCGATCACTGTTTGATCATAGAGTTGTATGTGTCTCTTTCTCTATCATTGTATCTCTTTATCTCTGTCTTTCTTCTCTTTATATCTTTAAATTTATCTTTATCTCTCTCTCTCTCTCTGCCTCGGGTGGAGACAGGTGGTGTTGATGTTATAAAAATGTATATTTTTTCCTGTGGCCAAAGTTTGATGAATATATAATTTATCTTTATTCGCTCAAAACGAGTGCATAATATTT